GTCCTGCATCAATGCCTGGATAGACAACCCCCTGCAGGATTCACCTGTCCTGGCCACCTGTTACCTCCCATCCATTAACCAAACTACCAGATGTGACCAGACCTTCCTGGAACCATCATCCAGACCAACTGGCATTGATGATACTGACAGCCTGTCATCTGCCTGACGACTGTCCTGCACCAATCGTAGGGCTAAGAATGCAGAACCGCTTACTCAAACATGTACTCTTTGCTCTTTGAGTTACCAGACAGGGGCGGGCGGGCCTGGAGCAGGTCTGACTCAGACCGGCCTGTGGTATGTGGGTCCTTGACTTCCTGTAGGAAAGATTTCACAACATGAGGTCCAGATGCGTTTGAGAGTACGTCTATGAAAGCTGAGGACAGGGAAACAAAGGAAGAAAGTGGGGTAAAAGAAACAACAGGGGAGAGCCCAAGCCATGCCCTGCTTTGGCTCCTAGAAACATTCTAGAAAAGAAGTGAGTCTGGGTGGGGTTGTGTTAGCTCCCTGGGAAGTGAGCGAAGGATCAGGGGGTGAGGCCTGGTCAAGCTGCCACTGCCTGCTGCTCCCCTGGCTCCAAGTCTCGTGGGGAGCCTTAGAATTGAGGAAGAATTAAAAAGTTCATGCCCAGAAAGGGGCCTGGCTGTGCTCTAGAGCAGCGGTTCTCAACCTGTGGGTCGCGACCCCTTTGGCGGTAGAACGACCCTTTCACAGGGGTCGCCTAAGACCATCCTGCATATCAGATATTTACATGACGATTCATCACAGTAGCGACATTACAGTGATGAAGCAGCAATGAAAATAATTTTATGGTTGGGCCACAACATGAGGGACTGTATTTAAAGGGCCAGAAGGTTGAGAACCACTGCTGTAGAGTGAGCCCACATTGAGTCATTGTTCTGAGGGCTTTTTATCCTTTCTTATTTTATCTCCTTTTTTTTTTTTTTTTTTTTTTTTTTTTTACCCCTGCAGGCAGGAATCTTAGGGGAAGGGTTTCAGTAGAATATTCATCAGCTTTCCACGTGCATTTAACATATGCTGATGCATCAAAATGAGTGTCTAGGGGAGTTTGGGGTTATCCTTTGGTCTGTTTTACATTTATCTTAGGTCTACCTGGCTAATCACTGAATTAGCAAGCAAGAGACTAGATTTAAAACTAAATCTGCCTGGCACAACAATCCCGTTTTTCCTTATCAGAATCCCCCCACAGTCGTTATCCTATCAGCCCTGTCTGTTGACAGAGCCGAACTGAAATGGTCGGAAGCCTACGAAGATGCCTTTGTAAACAACTGGGCGGTTCCGGAGTCGGGCGCCACCCAGTGGCCATGCACTTTTTCTTCAACAACATCCGCATCAAAACAAACGGACCTCGGGTCCCCAGGCTCTCTCGTTGGAAGCTGACAAAAGTAGTCCAGGGGGGAAAATTTTTTTTTAAAAAAAATAGGAGAATGCTGCCTTTCTTCCACAAACAGGATCTCTGTGGAGACTTCATACTGTAAGACAATAATAACCAAGTAAATCAATGGCATTGATAGATTGGGATGATGCTATTCTAGGTCTAATTATCCCATGCACTAAGATGCTTAATCTAAACCCAGAATGTTGGTTGTGTCAATTTTTTATTAGAATAAAATTTAAATTTAAAAAAAATCAGACAACACCCCCCAAAGTTTCAGAGTTGAAGTATCTCATTGTATTAGGATACAAATTTTTCCAATTGTTTGCAAAGATGAAATATCCCATAGGACAGAATGTCACTCACTAAAAGCTACGACTGACATAATACAACATAGCTGCTAACTCTCAACAATGTATTTTATTTTTTAATTTATTTTTATTGATTTCAGAGAGGAAGGGAAAGGGAGAGAGTGATAGAAACATCAATGATGAGAGAGAATCCCCCTGCCCCCAAATAATTACCGAGTATGCAAGGCATTTAACCCAGAGTTTTCAACGGATGCCAAGTTGTATAGGGTAGTCAGTGATGGCGAACCTTTTGAGCTCGGCGTGCCAGCATTTTGAAAAACCCTAACTTAACTCTGGTGCCATGTCACATATAGAAACTTTTTGATATTGGCAACCATAGTAAAACAAAGACTTATATTTTTGATATTTATTTTATATATTTAAATGCCATTTAACAAAGAAAAATCAACCCAAAAAATGAGTTCGCGTGTCACCCCTGACACGCGTGTCGTAGGTTCGCCATCACTGGGGTAGATACTTCAAATGACAGCTCTAAATTAGTTTAGGCTTCTCAGCAATAGGCCTTTTTGTTTCTTCCCCCTTTCTCCTAGCAAAGAGGCCGTTTCCTTATCTTTTGGAGAACTGCCCATCTCTGTTCCACTGTACCCTGTACCCCGATCACAGAGGTTGCCATGCGACCCAACCAAAGACATCAGATAGGCATCTAGAGCTGCGGCAACAGGAGGGAAGGCAGCTGAGGCTGAGTCATCTGAAGGCAGTGCCCCCCGCGGCTGCTCCCTAAATCCTTACTGCTGACCCTCCCCCCGACCAATCCATCCGAGGGCCCATCCCTCCATAGGCCTAATTCCTATCAATTTACAACCACGTAACTCCTAATAATGAACATGGAGAATGTGGATGCTACGAAGATGGTTTTTGTTCATGTGTTTGATGTCTGCTTCAGACACAGAGGCGCTGTTTTCCAAGCCAAATCACCATGCAATTTTGAGTCTTTTAGTTCTAACAAGAAGAAATGTTTGAACATGAGACTAAGTCCAAAGCATTTTACATTTTTTAAAGTCTCTAATAATCAATATGGCCAGACCATGCATACATTTTGACCAGGACGTGCCCCCACCCAATTATAAGGTCAGAGCTATCATCTTACCGTATTCGTGTGGCAGGTAAGTGGAGATGAGGAAGTGCGAGGCTCACTGTCCTAAGGGGTTCACTAAAAGGTGTACAGCATGAACTCTGTTTTTCTGACCGTGGGCAAAATTAATATAAAAGCCTATCTCCTTCTCCGTGGTAAAATGGGTGGGCATTTTCAAAACGGGTATTATCATATCTTTGTTCAAAGCTAGCAGCAAGGTATTTTCAAGGTAATTTCTTCTCACAACTTGGATACCCATAGGATGAAAAATGACCAGGGACATGCAAATTAGATGAAAGGAGACCTATAGGAAACCCTAAGGATTCAGTGTCACTCTGTCCATCTAGTTTACCCACAGATAGCAGGGAAAGCCATACTAAAATTTCGACAATATGATTGAAATGTGTGCAGCGACAGTCTGAAGTGGCCAGGTGCCCCACTAATAGCACTTAAGATGAGTAGATGTTCCTAGAAGAAAGGGACTCACTGGAGTGAAACATCAGTGAGTAAGACATATGGTCCTTTTTATGTTCCCAATGGCTGCCCACTGGCTGTTGAGTTACATATTTGATGACATGGTCATGGAGTATTTGAAGTCATTAATAAAATATGCCAAGTCATTCACGGTGTCAGGCAGAACTAAAAGTCAATGCAGAAGAGCAAGGCCATTCTAGGCAGCCTCCTGCATAATAATGAAACATCGCTATCGGAGGCCGTACTGAGCTCTACTCAGCACTAAAGTACAACCCAGGATTACCGATGGTCTTTCTCTTATGTTCAGAGATGCTGGGGGGAGTCTGCAAGAGTTGTTTGCCATTACAAGCCCGCTTCTACCCATCCGGCATGGCTCTAAACTTACCCAAGCCTTGTTGACAAGCGGGGCTTAAATCTGAGCCCATGAGGACATTCTTCATGTCCACTACAGCTTTGAAATTTTTTAAAAAAGTTTTCTCCTAACTTTTCATTCTTTCATGTATCTCAAATATTCCTTACAGGATACAGTTTGTTATTTTTTTTTTTTTAAAGTTCTTTGATAAGGTTCTATTAGTGGTAAAAACCCTATCTGCAAGTGTTATTTCACATTCTTGGTAGTGGCCTAGCATACAATTCTTGATTGACAGTCATTTTCTCACACTCTGCACTTTATATAGATCTACTTATCTATCTAGAGATCATTCTAAAGTGCATCCATGTTAAGGATCTATAAACTGTTAAGATACTTTTTATTAAGGATGACTTACTAATAGCAATTTTTGTAAGTCATCTAGATTTTAAAGCTATTTTACTAGGTGCACTTAAATTTAGCATTTTAATATTTTCCTGTTAAATGGGCCCTTTCATCCGTATAAAACGACTTTTGTATCTCTTAATTCCTACCTTAACATTCACTTAACCTGAATTAACATAGACATACCAGAATTTTTGTGGGCTTTTTTTCTCAGTATTTTTGTGGCATAAATTTTCCACTCCTTTTTTTGTTTGTTTGTTTTTCTTAAAAAAATTATTGGATTTACTGGGTGACATTATTTAATACAATTATATAGACTGATCATGGGGAACAATTCCTAAATTTTATAAATGTCTAATCACTATGCTGTACACATGAACCTAACAGAAAATAATACTTGTTGAATGCCAACTGTAACTGACAAAAAATAAAGCAAATAGCCGAAACCGGTTTGGCTTAGTGGATAGAGCGTCAGCCTGCAGACTGAAAGGTCCCAGGTTCGATTCCGGTCAAGGGCATGTACCTGGGTTGCAGGCACGTCCCCAGTAGGAGATGTGCAGGAGGCAGCTGATCGATGTTTCTCTTTCATTGATGTTTCTAACTCTCTATCTCTCTCCCTTCTTCTCTGTAAGAAATCAATGAAATATATTAAAAATAAATAAATAAATAAAGCAAATAGGGCAAATTGGTAAAATTTCATCAAGTGGGATGATGTGTACACAGGTTATTGTATTATTTTGTATTCTTTGTGAATGTTTGAAATATTTCACAAAATAAACAAAACCCCAAAGGTCTGCTAATAGGACTCTAAATCCTTGTGACGTATACGACGAACAATACAGCAAATATTCATTATGCAACATTTATTACATTTTAACAAATGTTATTAAATGGTGACATCAAATAGAAAGAAGTAGTTCAGCAGGTAAGGGATTATTTTTTTTTTTTTAAAGCCATAGTCTGGATTTTCTGACAGATGTCAACCAGGTCACAGTCATTTACAGACAACACAGTTGAACGTCCACCCAGAAACAGGCACAGGAAAAGGTTTTCATTCAGATGAGCACGTAGGAGTGATGGGTGATCAAGTCACATAGCCCAGGTTACTCGGCGTTTTTGCATTTGTGAGTCCCTCTGGAGCCTGCTTTCCTTGGATGGATCAGAGTGCGTGTGGACAATGCTCGGTAGAATGGGGCTGCGCTCTGGCAATGGAATCACTTGGATAGAACTCCCAGACTGCTGTCTCATGTCACTGTCTCGGCCAGAGTTTTCCATGGTGGTTACAGAGGCACTTTTCTTCATGACCCGCTGGTACTCTAGGAGAGAGAAGAGTCCTGGGGAAGAGAGAAACCGGGGGAGGGCGACAGAGGAACAGTAGATGTTTCATGAAATCGGCAAGAAATATTTCCCTCTGCGTTGTCAGAGAGACGCTGACTCAAAGCCCAGGGGGTCTCTTTTGAACCGCCCCCAAGAAATTTGGAAGGAGGTCCAAATGCTTCGGTGGAACAGACTAAAATTGGATGCAGGAGAGTTTAGACCAGCCGTGGGCAAACTACGGCCCGCGGGCCGGATCCAGCCCGTTTGAAATGAATAAAACTAAAAAAAAAAAAAAAAAAGACCGTACCCTTTTATGTAATGATGTTTACTTTGAATTTATATTAGTTCACATAAACACTCCATCCATGCTTTTGTTCCGGCCCTCCGGTCCAGTTTAAGAACCCATTGTGGCCCTCGAGTCAAAAAGTTTGCCCACCCCTGGTTTAGACACTTCCCAACGAAACAAAATTGAGGATTCTTTTTGAAAAGGGACATGCCTCTGAGTTAGGAATTTCTAAATGAAATTTTAAAACTCTTCTAGAGCCATTCATCGGTTTGGCTCAGTGGATAGAGGTCGGCCTGCAGACCAAAGGGTCCCAGGTTCCATTCCAGTCAAGGGCATGTACCCTGGTTGCAGACTCCTCCCGGCCCGAGCCCTGGTCAGGGCTTGTGCGGGAGGCACCCCATCGATGTGTTTCTCTCACATCCGTGTCTCTCTCTGTCTTTCCCTCTCTCTCCCACTTTCCCTAAAAAATCAATCAATCAGTCAATCAATCAATGGAAAAATATCCTCGGTTGAGGATTAACAAAAAAAAAACAAACAAAAACAAGACCAAACCACCTTTAGAAGCAAGGGTCTCCAATGTTGGTGGCTGAACATTTAGTATCAGGGATTGCTTTTCTCTGATCTAAGACTGACCTGGCATGACACTGCCCACCCGCCTACGCGAACATTCCATGTTATGCACGCTCTTTAGTCTTCCCTGAGATGGGGAGGGTGTGAAAGACGGTAGCAAAGTGGAGGTAAGGAGCACGTTGACCATGTCACCCAGTCCTGACCTCCAGCTCTATCTCTAGAGGAATGGTCATCCGAGAGCGAGGCCACTTGAACTTTACCCCCTTAAAGTGCAAGGATCGGTCCTTTTTCCTTATTCCCTTTCCCCGTCCTGTCACTCTCCCTCCCACCCAAGGTAGATTGGTTCTCGTTCCCCATCAAAGGCCCTTAAAACACTCACCAGAGGCAAAATGGAAGAAAATGCTAATGTAGGCCGTGGAAATGTTCCAGGTGATATGATAATTAGAGTAGTACACGGATTTGCCTTGCCTCAGCTTTATGTGATACAGTAGGAGTGCGGAGAGCAGAAGGACACCTAGTGGCCAAAGAAAAGGAGGAAAAAAAAGCCCCTTTTGAGGAACCGTGATGCCTCCACCCATCTTAACCCCCAGAGGGGCCTAATTTCTAAGCCTCCACCCTGCATATAGGCACCCCATCCACGTCCGTGGATGGTTCCATTCAGAAGCTGTATATCGGAGCCAAAAATCTGGGAAGGCCGCAATAGTCAGAAACTACAGGCTGGGCTCACAGACCAAGTACACGGCCACGCCCGTGTTAGGGGAGCCAGGGAGTCTTACCGGTGAAGAACGTGAGGAAGACAGCCATGAAGATGACGCAGGTAGTTTGAGGAATCATATAGGTGAATTCCAATCCCAAGAAGAAGTTATAAAAGTAGGAAAGGCTGAGGACTATAATCAGCATGACTCTGATCACTTCCATGTCACCTGTTGGAAAGCAGACGCTCTCTTGAGAGAAGGACAGATGTTTCTTCTAGGCTCATTTCCACCCAGGGGCCACACATCTCTAAGTCAAAATGGAAATGGGGCGGGGGGGTGGGAGGACGGTGATTGAGAGATTTGATTACATCATACAGACAGAAGTGGGGGTGACGAAGAAGCAGGAAGCCATAAGCTGAATGGGGGAGAGAACCCCAAGAAACCGTTGCTATCTTAGTATCTCTGTCAGCTTCTTTTCTCCTCCTTCCCTTCTGCAGAGCTCATTTCGTAGGAAATACTCGAATTTCTCCTGTTCACGTCAGCTGTCCACATAACCGACTTGCCTTGTTGCCCATTGCTTTTCTTTTATACCCTTCTGTTCTTGCTGTGCTGGGTCACCCTGCTGCTCCTGCCAAGCCTTCTCTACTGTCCAGCCAGTAAGTCTGTGAACTTCAAAACATTGGACATGGCGAGGTTTTTGAACCCTGCCTTGACTATATGGATTATGAAAGTGGGCCCAACTGCAGCCTGAGGACATTGCATCCGAGAATAACGAGTAAGCTGGTAAGGTAAATGGAAGTCAAGGGAAGGTGAACCCTCCCTCTCCACCCATCTTCCTAGGGTCTCGTTCTTACCTTTTGGCCAAATAGTACTCTGTATCCATGGGCTGTGGCTTTTTATAGTTGCTCTGGTCTCAATATTTATTCTAACCCAGTCATTGACCAAAATCCCTACTGCCAAGAAGACTAAGGCCCAAGAAGAGATGAACATGTTGATGGCCTGGATAGCTCTAATTGATAAGTGCATGATGGCAAGCAAAGAGTTCAAGCGGAGACCACCACCAGTAGCTCACATGCCTTCCTTCTGATTTGATTCGTCGTCACAGGAAGAAGAGAAAAATCTGGACGTTTAGTGATCGCTGAGGCATTGGCTGTGGCAGAAGCTGAAAGAGCCTATGGGACCACTCCTATAGTGGGGCCAAACTGCTGTCAGGGATGTAACTGCCATGGAATCATCGGTTGGTTTGACCCTAGACCCTGGGGCCTGGTTCAGTGGAAGGAACCAAGGGGCCCAGGAGTTCTGAGGAAGCTCTCAGCTAGACAGGGAGATATACCACACGCAGAGATAATTATCAGGTACACAGATCACTAAAGGCCTGGAAATAAGTGAAACATGCATGACTAAGGAGGTCTAATTTTGTTTTATTTTTTAATATATATATATATATTTTTATTGATTTCAGAGAAGAAGGGAGAGTGGGAGAGAGAGATAGAAACATCAATGATGAGAGGGAATCATTGATCGGCTGCCTCCTGCACACCCCCTACTAGGGCCTGAGCCCGCAACCCAGGCATGTGCCCTTGACCGGAATCGAACCCAGGACCCTTCAGTCCGCAGACCAACGCACTATCCACTGAGAAAAACCAGCTAGGACAGGAGGTCTCATTTTAGAGTTAGAATTATAGGTTCCAGGGTTAGTTGATATTATAGGCAGGGATTAGTGAAGGGCAGTGAGAATTAAAGATCTTTGACACAAGTGTCAACTAGTAGCATTAAAAAAAAAAGTGTGTGGGGTGGGGAATCACCATTCAAAATTTAGGATGTTTTGGAGAAACTTGGTTCCTCATTTGGGTAGCCTAAAGCAGTTTAATTAGGCGGGCATCTAGGAACTAGAGCAGTGTCTTGAAACGGAAAGAAATGGACTGATACACCAAACCAATATTGCACGCCAATATCATTTACTTATAAAGTGCAGATAATTATTTGTCAGGATTGCCTTTGTATCTAGGCAGAGTAAATATTTTTGATTCCTTGAAGAGGCAACCATGTATACCCTCAGCTCAGAGCCAGAGCACTTGTACTTAAATAAAAATAAATAAATAAAAGCTTTTTTCCTGCACTAAGATGGAAGTCACCTCCAAAACCTGTCTGCCTATTTCTTCAACCTCATTGCAGAACCTGGAATTGCTGGATTCCTTTCATTGTCTCAAACACACTATGCTGTCTTTCAGACCTCTGTACACATCTTATTACATTTTATATATCTTTCTAAAAATATATATTTATCAATTTAAGAGAGGAAGGGAGAGGGAGAGAGAGATAGAAACATCAATGATGAGAGAGAAACATTGATCGGCTGCCTCCTGCATGCCCCCTACTAGGGATCGAGCCCACAACCCGGACATGTGCCCTGACTTGGAATCGACTATGACCTCCTGGTTCATAGGTCGACACTCAACCACTGAGCCACGATGGTTGGGCATATAGCTTTTTAATTTTTTGAAATAATGCTCAATATATTTAATCTTACAAAGGAGACATTAATGAAATGGCCTCCGGATCCTGGTTTTAAATCCCGATTCTCCCACTAAGAAGCTTTGTGGTCTTACAGATGATAATGCTTCCTACTACATAAGAATTTTGTAAGAATTAAATTAATTTAGAGACGTCAAGACGTCTTAAAAAGAGCAGCTCCTGGCACATAAATGATACATAAGCAATGACCCTCGTCTTCATTTGGATTCCCTGGGAAGGAGATGCTAAGGTGGAGATGTGTGCGTGGGGAGTGGATTGGGAGTACACCCAGGAGCCACACCTGTTAAGTGCTTCAGGGAATCAGACTTGAGCAGAAGTTGAAATGAGATGCAGTTGCAACCCAAGGAATGTTAGCCAACAGCTAACGCCAAGCGCGCTGGGTCTGGGGTGGTCCTTGGGAGTCATCCTGAATGCAGCAAGAGAGTTTGTCATGGAATGCACGCTGCTCCTGGACAGTCCTTTATGTCTTGGGAACCGCACGCCTTCGCAGTCAGCACTTCTGGTGGCTGTGAGAGTGAGTGCTCGCCCTTCCCCACTCCTGTATCAGGGGCCAGCGTGCGGTTAGGGCTGCCAGCTGCCATGGAGTTGTCTATCGGCTTGACCCTTGACCCTTGTGGACTAGTGAAGCAGAAGGACCATGTGGGGAATAGGGAGCACACTAAGACAACTCATGCTATTACCTGCTCACATATTGATGCTTACATTGATTGCTATACAGCAGAGCCCAGGAGTAGGATTTCTAGGTGGAAAGATGGATGCCTCTTAAATTTAAAATAAGGAATTTTTTTTAATCCTCACTCAAGGATATTTTCCCATTGATTTTTAGAGAGAGTGGCAGAGAGAGGGAAAGACAGAGAGAAATATCAATGTGAGAAAAACATTGACTGGTTGCCTCCTGCACGCACCCTGACCAGGGCCAGGGCTGAGGAGGAGCCTGCAACCGAGATAGGTGCCCTTGACCAGAATCGAACCTGGGACTCTTCGGTCTGCAGGCTGATGCTCTATCCACTGAGCCAAACCAGCGAGGGCTCCACTACTGCCCCTTGTTCCACCTCAGTTACTACCGTCTCTGCTATTCCATCCTCCTCTTTGCTCTTCCTCCTTCCCCTTCTCCCATGAGACCTTTCTACCATCCTTAACACAAAATTCAGTGCCATTTTCGTTTCTGTACTGATCTCAACACAAGGTTTGTAATAGAGCTCAAGCTGAATGGGAAAATGACTGACACACAGATTCCCTAAATCTGAAGCAAAACAATAATGCCTTTAGAACCTACCCGCAAATTTTTCTAAAACCTACTGTATTCGTTTTCTAGAGCTGCTGTAACCAAGGACCACAAATAGTTTTCTTCAAACAACAAAAGATTATTGTCTCACAGTCTGACTTCATCTGAATTTGTTGAAATTTGAAAAGATTCTATTTCCAAATAAGATCATATTATGTGTTGTTGGGATTTAGAACTTACTCATATCTTGCTCTGGAGGGCACAATTAAATCCATAATTTACTTGTAAATTATTCAATAGCCCTGGCTTAATTACGCTTTGTATCTCAATCGAGAATAAACTTGCTGTCAGCTAGATGGCAATGTTTTGTCTTATTTCCTGTAAATTCCTGTGGGTCCATTTTAGGTTTAAGATAAATATTATTATAATTTTACTAGAGGCTCGGTGCACAAAATGTTGTGCATGGGGAACAGGGTCCCTCAGCCTGGCCTGCTCCCTCTTGCAGTCTGGGACCCCTCACTCCTTATCGCCCACCTGCAGCGGAGGCAGGAGAGGCTCCCGCCACCTCCGCTGCGCTCACCAGCCATGAGCCTGGCTTCTGGCTGAGCGGCGGTCCCCCTGTGGGAGCACACTGACCACCAGGGAGCAGCTTCTGTGTTGAGTGTCTACCCCCTGGTGGTCAGAGCATGTCATAGCAACTGGTCATTCCAACATTTGGTCAATTTGCATATTAGGTTTTTATTATATAGGATTTCCCCCAAGAGTATTTACCTGTAAATGGGAGATTATTTAGTCCATAAAACTCCCAGTACTCTGGCAGATGGTAAATAAAATATGAGCCCTACAGGGGAGCACGGGCTTTGTAATTCCCAGGGGCTTGACCTGATCGAAAGAATCATCAGTCAAGCAAAGGTCAGGGCATCTGTCTGATGCTCATGCTGATGAATTCCTCACCCATCCACCCTTTGGTCTCTTTTTCAAGCGTTCGCTTCTCTAGTGCAAGTCCAGTGATCACTTGTCAGCCCGTGATGAGGAGACTTTAAATGATGTTGATGGCTTCGCCTCTTTCCAATACCATTTATTTTTATTGTTTATAAGTGCCCGCATGCCCCTGGCTTTTCGCCACAAAGAAAATCAAGTGTGAAGTTAAGAGCAAGATCCATTGACTGAGATTTCCCCAAGCAACACACAGAAAATGACCTTCATGATCAGCATAGGTAACACTGCTGTACCTGTCCAATAATGTGTATTTCGTTGTTTTGCAAATAGCCTTGATAGTCTCTATGTAAATCAGTGCCTTGTCTCATGTTATTATGCATGGTTCCTGAGAAGGCAACAACTAGAATTATGAATGAACTTGGCGGGGGGGTAGGGGGTGTGTGTGTGAGAAAATGTAGAGTAACAAAGCAGGAACTCTATCAATGAACAGGCATTTCCTGGAGGCACATGATCTTCCCCCGAACCTGAAGCCTTGTATTTGGGGAGGAATTAAGCTGATTTCATTAAACCAGCTGGACCTGAGTCCCTCATGTCATCTGGGGCTGTCAAACTCTACCCTGAATGAAAACGCAATGAGTTTAGGTTGACCTGATAAATCATTTTTCATTTGAGTTGGTCATCGGTGCCCATGTTTCAGGGAGAAGGCATAGAATACAAAGGAGAGAAAGGCCCCCAAAAAGATTTAGTTTATGATGTTGTAAGTGGAGGTATTGTCCAGCTATAGTGCTGAATACTGTATATGTTATGCTTCTTAATCCTGCCAACAATTCTGTGGAGTTGGGTGTCACAGGTTGGGTTCCTAAGACAGCTGGCTAGGAGATAACATTTGGAAAGTAAAATGCTTTTAAGAAGTATCTTTGGGATCAAGACCTATGGGGGGCGGGGGGGGGGGGGGGAAGGAAAATGAAGAAAGAATGGACAGAGGGAGAATTTGAACTGGTATAGAGGCCTCCAAAATTCAACTGGAATGGAGGCATGGTAGTCCTTCAGAGTTATCCCAAATTGGGCCCAGATGAAAAGGTCATACAGGCCCATACCCATCAGTCATGAATGTGGACTGAGATAAGACATGACTCTGGTAGGACCACTTCTCTCCAATGTAGCTGACAAGATCCCTGAAGGGACTAACCTCTAAAAGCTGTTGCCAAAATAGTTGAGGAAGCGATTTTTTCATCAAAGGGACACCTGGGTGGTATATCACAGTGTCCACCATGGAAGGTAAGTTTATCATTACTTTAGAGACAAAGAAAGAGAAGTTAAGAGAAGGTCATTGTCCAAGGTTGTCATCATATCATCTCCATCATCATCATCATCATCAATCATCATCACAATGACAATAATAATAATGATAGTTACTATTGTTCAGGACCTCCTCTAAGCCCTTCACACGTGTCCTTCGGTATCACAACGACCCTGTGGGATAGGTAGTATTATAACCCCCACTTTCACAGACAAGAAACTGAGGCACAGAAAACGTAAGTAACTTTCCACACGTAACACAGGCAAACCTAGGCGTCCAGCCCAGTATTGGGTCACACTCCTACCCACCACGCAGTCACACAGCTCTCGGAATGTGAATCCAGAACTTTCTGATCATCAAGCCCATGCTATTCCTTTTAAAATAAGCTGGTTTGTTTCTTTCTCTCTCTCTCCCCACCCCCCTCTCCCTTCCTCTCTGGGGAAAAAAATAAAGATATAGTATATATATATATATTCGACAGTGAAAAAAAAATTAGTCTTAACCACACAACAAAGTTAAATTGGTGATTCAGTGACAGCTAATCATTTGTAAGAAACAACAGATGCCCTTAAAATGAAGATATATTCCATGGTGGGTTTTTAAAGCACACTTAACAAACTGAGTAATGCACTATAATGATCATGCTGATCTTTCAGACATGTATTCAGAGCTTGTGGTGATTTTTCCTCTGAGGATGCCAGAGGTTCACTTAATTGGTGATGAAGTTACAACAGGAGCCACTTCCTCCACACCCACCGCCAGCAGCTCCAGACAGTTCAGAGCGAAGGCCTCTGGGTGTGGAGGGTTGGAGGGGCCCCTCAGGCCAATGAACCCTCAGTTCCGTGAACCCCTCAGTCCCATGAACCCAGGTTACGGAAACAAACCCTGGCTGGTGACGACAAGTGGGAGGCAGGTGACGGATGACCTGGGGGGTGAGCGACTGGCCGTCCCTAATCCCCGCAGGACACAACAAGAGGCTGGGGGCACAGGCTGCAGAGGAGGAAGCTACTAGTAGCCTGAGATCCCAAGGACAAGGTCTGTGGCCACCTGGAGATGAGGGCCAGTCCTTCCAGGCTGAGGCCTGGCTGCCCAGGCAGGTCTGGAACCAGGGTCTGTCTGGGAAAGGGGAGGGGAGCAGCGGGAAGGAGAGGGGTTCCCAGCCGATCTGCTTCAGGCACTGGTGGAGTAACTGGACCTGCCCACTGGGCAACATTAACTAAAGGACTCTGCAGACACTGGGGTAGAGGAGAAGGTCACTGAGCCATGACCTGCTGAGCCACCATGTGCTGGAGTGACCGGGGAAGCCTGCCTGTCCAGGCCGCGTGTCCGGTGGGCGCTCCTCCTGCAGGGAGTGGCTGCAGAACAGCCTGTCCCACTTCCCCTGCTGGGCTCTGGGGTTTAACAGTCTCCCAGGCCCAAGCTCATGACGAAAGCCACTGGATCCTAAAGCTTTGCTGTTTCTGTTAATGCGGTGATGACCTAAGTGTAGCTAAGAAAAGACAGGAGTTTAGCTCTGGCCATTTTATAGATGAAAAGTAGATTCCATCACTCTCCAGAATTTCTCTATTCCTTTAAATACAAATCAAAATACTCACCGTTGCCTGTAAGGCCGGGTGCTGCAGGCCCCTGCCTGGGCCCTCTGCCGGCTGGTCCTCCATTGGAAGCCCTTCTGCTGAGATGAGGGCTGAACATGGCCCAGCCCCTTGCCTGGGGCCTGTCTTCAGGCCCCATGCCGGTGGCGGAAGCTGAATTCACAGCAGGTCAAATGTGACTCCTCTGGGCTCCTCTGGTTCATCGTTCATCAGAGCCAGAGACAGCTGGTGAGCATTCTTGGCATCAGCGCCGGCAGATTCTTGAAGGAAGATATTAAGTTGGCTCAGCTGCCCCATTTCTAGGCCAAGATAGCAAACCTGCATAGCTAAGGACTCTTGGATGTCTGTGGCACGGCTTCTTGACAGTGAAAGATGCATTTTTAGTCTAATAGCTGGAAGCTATGATTCGCAGAGATGCTGGCGGGGGGGGGGGGGGGGAGGAGGAGGAGGAGGAGGCTTGGCCCCAAGCTGAGTTCCGTGCACCAAAGCCTGCCAGCCAGCCGCATTTGTATCATCAGCAGCCTCGATACAGGCTCACGAAGCTTGGCTCTCCCCAGCCTGCAGAGTTCGGCTACACCAAGAGGAACCAAAGACAGGAAGAGGAGGAAAGAGTCACGTGTGTTGAGGGCTTCAAGCCGGGAGGTAGCTATCTCCATTCCCAGTTGTGAAATGAGACTCTGGGGTGCTGAGACAGTCCAGGACCAGGACAGAGGGCAGAGGCCCGAAGGGCAGGTGGCAGATATTGTGGGGTTGAAGGGGGCTGGCTGGGGGGGCGTTGTGAAGGTGCAGGAGCCAGTTCCCTCTGATTCCTGGGTTGGACCAGGGTCCCCTCCCCAGAGTGTATGCACTGGGCTACCACCAGGGGGCACTGGTAAAATCCAGCCAGTGGGAGCTTATGTGGACTTTTATACTTATTTCATTACTAGAGGCCTGGTACATGAAATTCGTGCACGGGAGGAGGGAATCCCTCAGCTCGGCCTGCACCCTCTCCAATCCGGGACCCCTTGCAGTCAGACATTCCTCTTGCAATCCAGGACTGCTGGCTCCTAACCACTCACCTGCCTGCCAGCCTGATCACCCCCTAACTGCTCTCCCCTGCCAGCCTGATCGCCCCCTAACCGCCTCTACCACAGTGGCTTTGTCCGGAAGGATGTCCGGTCTAATTAGCATATTACCCTTTTATTAGTATAGCTAGGCATTTCAAATATGCATGAAAGTAGAAAGAGCAGTCAAAGCAGTCAATTTAACCCTTATGTGCGCCTCTCCCATGCCCACCTCATTTCCTCCAGGAGATGTTAAAGTAAATCCCAGCATTGCAGTAATTGTGCCTGAGAGGACTTCAGCATTTATGTATACAAACTGGACATGTTTAGGCCATAACTGCAATTCTACAATTACATCTAGCAAAATTTCTAACACCATTGCAATATCAACGAATACTTGCTCATGGTCAAACCCCTTGGTTTCCTCCAACAACAAACAAGAGTCCTTGCAGTGGCTGCTTCAATCAGGCTGCACACAAGGTTTCCGCACTGCAGGGGTCCCTTTAAATCTGTCCCATTTCCCCGCATCCCCTTTCCCATGCGGTTATCTGGCGGAGGAATCTGGGTCACCTGTTTCTGTAGAATTTCCCACGTTCTATATTTAGCTCAGGGTGGTGTTTAACTTAAATGTAACCTGGATGCTTCACTAGAGAAGATTCTAGCTTGTTGTTGTTTTGCAGAGTCATAGATGGCACTGTGTTCTTATTACACTGTGTCTGGGTGGGTTTTTTTTTTTTTGGTTTTTCTCTTTCAGTGTTGCATCTAAATGAGGGCTTTTAGATAGTCACAAAACCTGGGTAATTATAATAATAATGACAATGATAACAGTACCATAATAATAGTAGTGATTAGGTGTACCGGTGAGTGATGCAGATTTTTTTCGATAGATGGAGTTACACATATGCTGATATATATGCGATTTGACATGTATGCTATTTTGTCACATTGAAAACAAGCTTCAAAACTTCATATGTCAAATTTTCTGAAGGTGTTAACATCATAGATATTTTTACACTTAAAAATGTCAAATTTTGTGCCAAAAAAAAAGCATTTGAGGGAAGTTATAATTCATTATTTTGAAGAAAAGTGCTAGCAATGGACATTACTTTGAATGAAGCACTTTTGATGTTTCTCTTGAAATTATCGTGTTTTCCTTGATTACAAAATCCGCATTTTTAACCGGTACACCTAGTATTGAAGGTTGCATGTGCCAGGCACTTTGCCAAAGGCTACACAGAGCTGTTTTTATTCGTGTACATCCTCATTTTATGGGGGACCAAGTCGATGAGTAGAGGGACTGACTTCATGACTTGCCCAGGGCACACAGCTGGTACGTGATGAAGCTAGAATTGGAGCCCCAGTTGGTCTCATCCCCAAGCCCAGATTCTCTAACCTTCTGTGGGGTTTGGTGACTCCGGTCCAAGAAGGCATCCCACCTAGTGACGCTGGGGAACAGAAAGGACAGAGGCAGAGAGGGCACCCCACAGCCTGGGCTCCTGACGAAGACAACAGGAAAGGCAAACGATGGCCTCTTTAGGAAAGACTGCAGGCGGGCAGGTGTGTGCAGAGAGCCGTGTGCTGGGTAGGAGGGACAGTGGCCCGTGCCTGTCCTCTTCGGGTAGGCATACATGGAGTCTGGCAGGGTTGATGGGGTGGCTCCTGGCTGCTTGGGGGTTCCTGGCAGTCCTAGGCTCCCCCTAGAGCAGTGGGTCTCAACCTTCCTAATGCCGCGACCCTTTAATACAGTCCCTCATGTTGTGGTGACCCCCAACCGTAAAATTATTTTCGTTGCTACTTCATCACTGTCATTTTGCTACTGTTACGAATCGTCATGTAAATATCTGATATGCAGGATGTATTTTCATTGTTACAAATGGAACATCATTAAAGCATAGGGATTAATCACAAAAACAATATGTAATTATATATTGTCTTAGCCGATGGTCTTAGGCGACCCCTGTGAAAGAGTCGTTCGACCCCCAAAGGGGTCGCGACCCACAGGTTGAGAACCGCTGCCCTAGAGGAAGGAGAAATCTCCATCTCAGACCACATGTGAACCAGTTCTCAGAATAAGATGCCACGGTCTGTGGTTTTGGGATTAGTGCTCACTGCTGGGACCCTCCCGCAGGGCTCATCTGCACCAAGACAAAAGGTGCCTTTTAGCCCTCGTAAACTTATGCAAATATACTTCTTACATTCAGGGTTCAGACTCCAGACATTTGTAAACAATTTTGCATCTGAAGCTTCCTCTAAATGCCTGAGCATGAAGATGCAATTTAAGCCATCAGCCCATTTGTAGAGAGAAATCACAAATCAGTGACACTAGATGGAGCTGTGAATAGGCACTGAGCCCTGCCACTCAGCTCCATCAGAGGATTCGGTTCTGAGTGAAGCAGGAAAAAAGGGGGAGCGACTCCTCTGGATTTCCAGGGCAGGTACAACCCGCCCGGCTGGCTGTCACTTTTTCCCAGCGAGTGAGGCAATGGCGGAGGGCTGCTCAGGGAAGCCCGAGTGAAGAATGGGTCATGTTGAGTGGTAACAGTCTCACCAGCAACCCATCGTACCCCCAATAGATGGGAAATGCTCACCTGACCAATGAGCCAGGGGGAATCCCGTCAGCCTCCAGGACGTCAGCTTCGCATCACCTGGTCAGCATTCATGGCCAGTCACATCCACTTCTCCTCAAGGCAGAGACAGAAGACATCAAGCCAAAGCTCCGTGTACACGCATGTAGTAGCATGACCACACACAGGTGCGCCTCCGCGTCCCAGGCTTCCTCTATAAACCTTTCCCTAAAGCGGCGGTTCTCAACCTGTGGGTCGCGACCCCTTTGGGGGTCGAATGACCCTTTCACAGGGGTCGCCTAAGACCATCGGAAAACACATAGTTACATATTGTTTTTGTGATTCATCACTATGCTTTAATTATGTTGAATTTGTAACAATGAAAATACATCCTGCATATCAGATATTTACATGATGATCCATAACAGTAGCAAAATTACAGTGATGAAGTAGCAACGAAAATAATTTTATGGTTGGGGGTCACCACAACATGAGGAACTGTATTAAAGGGTCGCGGCATTAGGGAGGTTGAGAACCACTGCCCTAAAGCATCCTCACCATGCAGGACAGGCCTCCGCATCCTACACACAGTCCTCTAAGACAGCCGTATTCTGCATTCCTTTGTTTCCTTGCTAGTCTTGGAGGTAGGAGCTTGTCTCTCTCCTCCCCTACCTCCACGTTCAGTGCCTGGTGAGAAGCTTTGTAAATATTGGCTGAATGGACCAGCGAACGAGGCCCCGACACAATTTGAATCAATAACCCTGAAGCAGTAATGAGTAGTTATGAATAAATAGGTCAATTCTATTTTAAAATTAAGTTAGAAATGATCTTTTTTCTTCTTCTGTTGATAGAGAATTGGGTCATCAGAGAAGGATGACCACACAAAATACTACACACGAATGCTTATAGCGGTTTTATTCACGATTGCCAAAAAGTGGAAGCAACCAGGATGCCCTTCAGTAGGGGAGTGGACAAATACACAGCAGTTCGTTGGAAAATGGAATGTTATTCAGTGCTAAAAAGATATGAGCCATTAAGCCATGAAAAATGTGGAAGACACTTCAAATGCATATTACTTTTACAGAAGCCAATCTGAAATGATTCTAACTACTTGACAATCAGAAAAAGGTAAAAATAGAGAGACAGTAAAAAGATCACTGGTTATCACGGGTTGGGGCAGGAGGAAAGACTCCATTCTTTTTTATTAAAAATTTTTTTTATTGATTTCAGAGAGGAAGGGAGAGGCAGAGAGAGAGATAGAAACATCAATGATGAGAGAGACTCATTGACTGGCTGCCTCTTGCACGCCCCCCACTGGGGATCGAGCCCGCAACCCGGGCATGTGCCCTGACCGGGAATCGAACCATGACCTCCTGGTTCATAGGTTAGAGCTCAACCACTGAGCCACGCCGGCCGGGCATATCATCTTCATTTTAGAAACAAGAAAAGGAGGCCCAGGGAGGTTATGTGATCTGCGTTTTAAGGACCCACACACGTGAGAGTGTGGTGTGGCAAGGTTTATTCGTGATGCAAAATCAAATGAGTTCCCCTCCTGGTTTCTCCATGTCCCATCTCCCTCCACCCACCATGGAAAAAGCCCAGCCTTGTCTTCACCAAGGCCAAGACAGAGGACAGTGTCCAGAGTTTCTGCTTCGTATTAAAACTTAGTTCTTCGGAGCCCTCGTGGTCTGCTGCGGGCCCCAGGTGGGCACTAGACCCGCCTGGTCAAGTGTTCCCTGGTGGGAGAGACCATGAAGGAACCAGGAGAGTGTGGGTCAGAGAAAGAGAGGGAGAGAGAGGGAGGGGCTCTTTGTTTCCCTGGAGTTTTAGCCAGGAGCTTTTTCAAAATAACCAACAAACCTCCCAAGCTTTCCTGGGCTTCTGAAGGGTCCGCCCCCTGACCAATGATCTTGTTCCCAGGTCAGACTGACAGGTCTCTCTGGTCAAGCACCTCCCCCTGCACCATTTTCACTTTATTCTGCATATGCTTACCTCTCTCCCTACCCCCTGCCCCCCAAATCCTATAGGCGAGGGCAGGCTGCTCCCTACACCGGGGATGGGAGGGGTGTGAAGCTGACTTCCAGGCGAAGCAAACAGGCTCAGTGTCCCAGCCATAAGACTCAACAATGTCCAATTCCTTTTGCGTCCTTCTTTTTTTTTTTTTTTTTTTTTTTTTTTTTTAAATATATTTTATTGATTTTTTACAGAGAGGAAGGGAGAGAGAGAGTTAGAAACATCGATCAGCTGCCTCCTGCACATCTCCTATTGGGGATATGCCCGCAACCCAGGTACATGCCCCTGACCGGAATCGAACCTGGGACCTTTCAGTCCGCAGGCCGACGCTCTATCCACTGAGTCAAACCGGTTTCGGCCTTTTGCGTCCTTCTTATTAATATCTAGCTAACTACACTAACAAAATGAGAATTTCCAGGTGGTAGAAGGGTTTATAAAAAATGGCAGATCAACCGTATTCTTCGAAAATGTCAAAGTCATAATGTTAGGGGCAGGAACATAACATTGGGGACCAGCCATAATTATAAGAAATATTCATCGTGCTCTGTTAACCATGATTGTTTTGATCTGATTAAAGAAGGCACATTCTAACCTGGCTGGGAGTTGTACACGGGACCTGGGAGCTCACCTGGAAATGCTCTCCACCCTCCCCATCCGGGAGCTGCCTATTATCACGGAAAGATGAACAACCTTGTTGAAGAAAGAAATGGAGTCCCGGATGCCCCCTGCCCTTTGCAAACCCCCCAGCCCACATGGCCCGCTTTGCCTGCAACCTGTAACTATGGCTATAGCATATCCATTCTTACTCCCTTTGCCCAGTTCCCCATGTAATCTTTGTCTTTGTACCCATATAAGCAGCTGGATTATGGGGGAGGGGGCAGAGCAGATTCCTGGATGACCTGCAGCTCTCCCACGCTGCCGGCATTATTAGAATAAACGCTCATATATAATTCAACCCTGTCTCTGCTTCACTGGCTCAAGTAGTGACAGGCAGCCCGGACCCACTGGTTCTCCAGTTTCAATAATAGATTTTTTACAAAAAGACACAAACTTTTACAGATTAAAGGAGACAAAGAACTATGGGATGACAGTACAGTAGGCGATCAATCTTCTACTGCAAGAAAAGCAACGCTATAAAAAAGACATAAATTGACAAAATTGAAGTATAGGCAGTAAATTAGATTTAAGTTCTGTATTAATAATCAATTTTCTGAAGTTAATAATACTGTCTGCACAAAAGACAATATTTCTTTCCCTAGAAATGCACACTGAAATATTTTAGGTATAAGAGGCCAGGGCGCATGTAATTTATTCTCAAATAAATGTTTAGTAAAAATGAAAATATGTATGGTACTACATCTAGAGGGACAGCAAATGAGAATAAAATGTTAAAAATAGGTGAATTCAAATCTAGGGTATAGAAGTAATTCTTTTCTATTGCAACGTTATAATTTTAAAATTGTTAGGTCTGATCACATAATCGAATCGATATCCCCTCCCCGGGAAACGAACCTTTCGATCATTTCGCAATTGACATCCCCTTTTGCTTAGACCACATTCCATTTCCTAAGACCATTAACTTTCCCCTTCGGACTTGCCCAGGATCCAGACCACCCAGCGAATTCCCCATTGAAAAAGCCCCTCTGGAGTCCTTTAAAATCTCTGACTCCCCTCCCCGTCCCTGGGTGCTGGTGCCATTTGGGGGCTCAGCCCATCTGGTTTCCAGATGACCTAATCTATATATATAAAAGCATAATATGCAAAGTGTCCCCTCAGCTGTTCAACCCAGAGACAGGGAGCTCTATTGATCGCTATGATGTGCACTGACCACCAGGGAGCGGCATAGGCCATGGTGGGAAGAAGAAGGTGGGGAGGCGGGGAGGTGGGGAACCTGATCGGCCCTGGTTGCCGGCCAGGCCTAGGGACCCTACCCTTGCACATGCACTGGGTCTCTAGTAAATGTATAATTCTTTACCCCTTGTGTGTGTTCCTCCTTCGGCGACCCTAACAGAAATTATTTCCAAATATTTTTTTAAATGGCTCATGGACTCAGTTCCCCATTTTGAGCTTCCCTGATTTTGCTTCTCAGAGCTGCCACCATCACAGGCAGCCCCTAAGAGGCGCACTACAGATGTGCTAATGAGTCTGCATGAGGGGAGGACGGGGCACCCTAAGGAATGAAGCCGGGGCTGGGGTATTAGCCATCCAAAGCAAGGAAGTTGATATTCAACCCTACATCATTCCCGGGGGTGGAGGGATAGGAACAAGAGGAAAAAAATAAATAAAATATTGATGGGAAGGGATTGAGATAAACTAGATTTAGTATCCAGTTTTTTATGTGTTTGTTTTTAAAAGAAGCCACCGTTTTCTTTGTCTTGTTTAAATTTTGTGTTCTTTTTTTTTTTTTTTAAATGAGGTATGATTGACGTACAAAAAAGCTGTACATATTTAATGTACAAATATTGATGAGTTTTAAGATAATTATATACCCTTAAAACCACCATAGTCACCACATAAAATACCATAAGCTTAACTCACTTCTAAAAGCTCTAAAATTTTCTCTGTGGGGGAGAAAGGGAGGCAATCACCCTAGCTCTCTGATGTGACTCGGCCACAGGGTGCCCCCAGGGTCCCCACAGTGTCCCCCAGGCTTGAGCAATGACCAGAGGCCTGCCCGCATCTGCCTGGCTGGGCCCTGCACAGGCGCCTTCCCGCTTTCCACACCTGCGTTTAGCTTGGCTGCACCCCAGGGAGCGCTTCCCGCTTCCCGCAGGCTCTGCTTGGAGAGATCTCACCTGCAGGACGGCCTCCTCCGCGTCGCCTGCTTCTGGCGTGTTTGTGCCCTGTGTTCCAATCTAATGATTCACAACCAGAAGCCATGGGGTGTGAAGCACTAATTGAAATTTCGGTGCTTGCTTTCCGCATTCTGGGAACGCGTGCGCCAGCCTGGTTAAGTGAAGAGGGGTTGTATTTTCTAGCTCATTGATTTATCCTCATCAAGGCGCCAAATATAGCGCCGTGTGAGTCAGCATGGGGAGTGCGCTTCTCCCGCGCCCTCGACCTCAGACTGCCATCGACTCCAGCTCTCCGCATGTGCAAACAGCCTGAATTGGATTTGGTGTGATCACCACTCCTCCCATCAGCAGCTATTTATCGCATTTAGGTTCCAAATGGAGGATTTTAGTGAGAGCCTCACAGTGATCTCTGCACAGTGCTGGCTACAAGGAGAACACCCTGTAGGTCTGGCACAGGGCCTTGTGCCTGGCCTTGCGGGATGGACCAGAAAGCCAACCTCGCTGCCCCCTCCCCTCTCACCAGACCTGCTCCCTGCCGAGGAGGTGGCATCCTGGCTGTGCCAGGGATTTCCCAGGAGAAGGATGGAGCAAGTGAGGAGCCATAGGCAGTTCCCACGTGGCACGGGCTGGGCTGCAGGGGGTGGAGCCCAGGGTCTGCATTCCCCCAAACCCACCCTTGCCTGCCGGGGTGCCCTTCACAGAGCTATGCTTCCCGACTCCCCTGGAAGCAGGTGGCAACAGTGTCCTAAGGCACCGTTGTGCTGTCACACACAGAGACACACTTAGGGACAAAGACACCGACCCACAGTCTCATGGTCACACGGAAAGACACGCATGCACATGGCAGTCAGAGGGATGCACACATTCACTGCCTGCCACTCGCTCTCTTCTTCTGACTCAGCGAAAATTATGTGAACTGTCTTATTTCCATCTCTCTTTCCCTTATTTCCATCTCTCCACCCCAGGTGGAGATGTCCACCAAACCTCTTGGTCTCGCTCCCAGCCCCTCATAGGTAGGTGAGCTCAGCGCACGTGGTGGGTGTGCCTTCCGGGCACCGTCCTCCATTCTCTCTTCCCATTTCTGCCATCGTCACACAGATGAACTTGACGGGCCCATTCTGAACTTTACATGATAAAGAAATGAATACATGTACATCGAGGCCCTGAGACTTTGGAGCTCCCCGTAGATCCCCCAGCCTCACCTGGACTCAGACAGTCCTCCAACCAGGTAGCCGCTGCGTGAGAGCACCCACCGTCCATCGGCACCCAATGCTGTGAATGAATGGGTGCATGAATGAAGGAACAGGCGAATGAAGGAACATTCAGGGGACATCCACACGCCCTGCATCTGCCTCCCCCCATCTCTCCAGTCTGACCCCGAGGCTGGGCTGGGTGTCCCTTCCTGGGCATGCACAATGGCCAGACTTATCCTCTCGGGGTCGGGAAGCTGTTGCCCTGTGTCCCCTCCCCTGCCAGGCTGGGGGCTCCATGTGGCAGGACAGCGCGGGTCTCGCCCACCGCTGTTTCCAGCTCCGGCCACGGGGCCCGCACACAGTAGGCACCTGGTAGACGCACCCCCTGACTGAATGCCTTTACTGGGATTTGTTGGGACTTTGAGTCGACCAAGCCCTCCCGTGGATCTGTTTGATTCCTGGGTTCAGACAGCGAGGGCGGTGGTGGCGAGAGGGACAGCGTGATCGGAATGTGCAGCCCCCTGGGTTAGAGAGAAAGTGCTCAGACGGCAGACTCTAACCTGGACCAACAGGGATCACTTCAGTTCATGCTTCCAAGCCTTCTTTGCAGAGAGCGGGGGTCGCCTGCACTCTCGTTCTCTCGCTCTTCAGAATAAAGTCCCTGAGGTAGAAGGGACCCAGGACAAATGCCAATCTAGGCCCAGAAAAGTCGAGGGCTCACGGAGCCGCACACAGCGTGTGGGTGGGAGAAGCAGACCTGGACTCAGCCCCGAATCCTTTCCCCCTTTGTGCTTCTCTGCAGAAGCCCAAGAGGCTCTAAGAATAGCAGCAGCCTGGCCTGGATTTTCTGAGAAAGCCCTGGTTTCAAAGCGTTTTGCCGTTTGCCTGTGAGTGTGCTAGAACTTGTCAGGCTCTCCTGCAGTCCCGCGTGGAGACTATGTGTCCATCTGTCCCAGGCACAGCCCAGACAGACACTCGGCGCCTCAGGCCACTTCCCGGCTGATCACAGAGGTCAGCCTGAGAACCCTCCCACTAGAGGGCACTCCCCCTTCCCCACCCACACCGTGCCTGCCAAGCTGCCAGCCTTGTCCCCTACCACCATCCCACCCCTCCTCCTGACAGCTCCTGGGAAAGCCTTTCCTCTTTTCCCGGCCTCCCAGGCTCTGGAGTCCCGGCTGACAGGAGTGGGGAAGACGCTGGCCTGGGAGAGCTGCCAACCTGAGGGGCCGGGCATCCAGACCACAGCGGAGCCATCGCACTAAACACCACTTGACATGTTGGCAGCATCACGGACAGCGGTGCCTGTGGAAATGTAGGTCAGTGCTTGCCTGCGAGACGGAAGAGGCAGGACCGCTGGCGTGGAAGACAGAGGAAAGCAATTACGAAATGCAGATTCAAGAAGCATCAGCTCACAGGCAATCAGCGAGCATCGACACGTGGAGACGAAGGACAACCAGGAGGCCAGTGGGTTGTAACTGGTTCCCAATCTGGTCAGGAGTCCAGGACAAAGGATCCAGGGAAGGGAGCAGGGCAGAAGCTTCCAGAGAGGACAGTCTCTCTCTGAAGCGGGCCAGGGCCACGCACTCACCTCCGAGCTCAAGACCATCCACCTGCGCCCAGCCAGGGGCCCAGTAAATCCTCTCACCTGCAGTAAAGGATTGTGTCAAGAACATTTTCATTCGTTTACCCAACCAACGTTCACACATTGCCCACTCTGGACAGACAGAGACTGGCCTGTGAGCTGTGGCTGGTGACAGCTGCCAGCACAAGAGGAGGAGCATGTGTTCCCAGTGGGCCCCAGCCCGGCGGGGCTGGCAGCGAAGGCAGTGAGCCTGGGAGGTGCGCTGGGTCAGTGGAGAGCCCGCCCCAGGGACCCGGGCATCGGAGAGGAGAGGGCAGTGCAGCAGGTGCCCAGGCCTTCCTACCCCTCTAATCCGTACCTCTGCCTGGCACGACTGGGTCCTGATGACACAGCCCAGAAGCGGGGTGAGCCCTCCCTGGGCCTTCCCTGGGCCCGATCTCGCCAACTCATCTAGGCTGCCGCTCTGCAGAGAAACAAAAGCGCCTCCTACATTTTTTTTTTTAAGCAAGAGAAGGAGGGGATAAAAAATAGCACACGATTAGGAAGCCACTGAACTTCTGTGCAAACTAATGAATAAACCAGCCCTTGACAACTTCTCCCAACTGCCGCCGACAGGATAATTGGGCCTAATTTCTTAATTTTAATGCCGTTGTTGCATTTGACTTCTGCTAATGAGATGTAAATATGTGTTTCGGGTTTGTGCATTTGTTTAATTGCAGGGTAGCCAAACCGATTGGCTAGAAGGGTCGTCGTTTGTTTATTCATTTTTATTTTCACATGCCCCTCGATGGCAGGAAGAGTAAAGACCTCCGGGCCCCCCCAGGGGCTGGCGGTTTGGGGTGCGGGGAGGAGGATGGGAAGGAGGCTCCCCAGGCCACCGCACCCTCGTCGGTCACACTGATCAGAACGAGGCCTATTCTGTCTCCGAGGAAGGAGGAACAGGCTGGTGTCACGCAGGTCACAGCTGGTGCCTGGGGCTGACCGAGCAGAGACTTGAACGAGCCTTCAGGTCATGGTGCTGGTGGGAGGCGGGGTCATGGATCATAATATCATTTGTCCTGTGATATCGCAGGTCTGTGTAGAGGCTGGACCGCACGGACGGAGATTTTGAAAGAGCCCGTTTGCGTGAAAGTTTTAGAAACCAGGAGCAGTGACACAACATTCAGGATCGTTTGGTGCAAACGTGAGGGTGGAGCGACGGACTCTCATGTGGTCCTTCCCAACCCCGTTCCCAGCATCTCCCGCTGCGAACCACAAGTAATTCAGGCGAACGAGGCCTCTGTTCAGGTGATCACACTTCTCCTTCTCACTCCTGCGGGGAGTGCTGGCCTGCCCAGCGGCCGTGGCTGTTCGCAACGGTGGCTCTCCTGTCCTGGCTGCACAGGTGATGGATGAGCGAGGCCATTTAGGGAGTATCACCCTGGCAAAGTTCCCTCTTCCTCTTCTTGAAAAATGGGCAGCTGGCCGACGATGTGGGAGCTATGACCATCCTTCAGAGCCTTCGCCTGGACGGATGGATGGGATTTCTGGCCTTTGTAAAGGGGAATTTTGCGACGAGAGCCTCTCCCCTGGGCTTTGCCTGCCTCCCCTCAGGGACTCCGAAACCATGGTCAAGGCTGGAGGAAGGTTTCCCAGCCGAGGAAAGAGGCCTGCCCGCGGTCGCAGAGCTCCAGGTGGCCGCAGGGCTGGCACCCGCGCCTCCAGCTCTGTCAGCTGGCTGGGTGAGCTGTGAGCAGTTGGTGGGGCACCAAGAGGAGTACGGAGCTGGGGTCCTTAGGAGGGGCAGGGCCTGCGGGAGGGAACGGTGCACCAGCAGCTGGCACCTCAGCCCTGCCCACTGGCGCTTCTGCCCACAGCCCCCGAGCTGGGAGCTGGGCCTTGCACCTCACCAGATCCCGTCCCTTTGTGACCATGCACGGGCAGCTGCCAGATTAGGAGGGAAACAAACAAAACCCAGGTGCCCTGCAGTGTCAGGGACATACTTACACTAACCCCGTGTGAGGGTACCTGGCGTGCACATCACCTGGGCATCCCGTGTTCAATCGGATAGGCCTGCACGCACAAGGCCACTCTGCCCAGCGCCTCCGAAGCCGACGGCAGTATTTAAACCTGGCTTGAACTTGGCCCACAATCTGGGTGATCGCCATCCCCTTCTCCTGTGGCCTCTTCCCCACTTCCTTAGCAGGGGACTCAGTCCTTCCTGGGAATCACTTCTCAGGCACGGCCCTCACCAATGACGTCTGCCCAATGACCAGATGGACCTGGCCCTGCGTCCCTGCCTTAACCGTCCTGGTTTGCAAAGAAGGTGGAGTCCTTTGATTCCCAGTGGCATTTTAGGGAGGAAGGAATCCAAGTCATTTGGTTTCTTTGGTTTCCAAGTGAGATGGCATGCAGGTCCCATGGGAAGCACTGGGCAGAGGGACTCACCTGTCTGTCCCCGAGACACAAGCAGCAGCTCAGGTGGCTGGATGCTGAAGGGGCCCAGGCTTCTGGGGGAAGAAGGAAGGCGGGACGAAGCAGCAAAACTGGTTGCTATGGAGATGGTTTCCCCAGCAAGTGGAGGAGCTGGGACTGTCAGTTGGAGCTAACCTTGAAGGGTTTCGCCAGGAGAAAGGAAGGATACCTAGGCACAGATACAACATGTGACGTCTGACCTTTTTACGTGGGAGGCTGGGGATGGGTGTGGAGGTGCCAGGGAAGATTCCATGGCCCCGGGGGAGGGTGCAGGGAGAGGGAAAGGAGGCAGGGAGGAAGCTGAGCCCTGAGGAGGTAGGAAGGAGGAGGAAGGGGACGGGCAGGGCCACACGCTGAGGTCAGAGCACATTTCCTCCCATTTGACTCTCTCCAAACCCCAGTGTGCGGTGAGGGCGCTGGATGAAGACCTAGAGGGGTTCATCCAGGCTCCGGTCAGTAATGGACAGGGCTGGGGCTGAAATGCAGGTTTTCTGACTCCAAAATCCACGCTCATTCTCCCACAGAGGATCCCCCTGAATCACTCCAGTGACCCAGGTCTGGTGGGGGTGAGGGGGGGGGTAGGTAGAGGCTACAGGGGCTCCAATCCAAATCAAGAAGAAGAGCCCCGGCCCCTCCTTTCCCCAGCTGGGCTCCTGTCCAAACACCCACCCTCTTCTCTTTCATCACATGACTTCCCAGTAGTTGGGGAACATGGGGAAGGAGGATGGAGAGCCAGTGAGCCCAGAGGACTGAGGGAGGGGATGGGGCAGGGGGCTCTGGAGCTCCGGTGCCCCACCAGGGGGCAGGCACCTCCCGCCCATGGTCCCTGGCCCCGGGCTGAGACCTACCAGTACATGCTGAGTCAGGCCCGCTCTCGCTGCTGCGGCGGCTGGAAGTGCCCGTGATAATGACCTTCCCAGAGCCAGGTTATTTCTGTCCTCGTCAGGAGGACACGTCAGGAGAGGCAGAGTCCACAATTAGCAAAAGCAATTAGCGGGCGGGCTGCTCGGGCCCTAACGGCTGTGTGCGAGTTAGGACCTGGCCAGGTAAACCTCGGCCCAGTGTCTGGACACGTGGGAGGTGGGGTCTCGGCGCCCTCCCCAGGCCCTCACCCAGGGTCCAGGCAGGACCACCCACCTCAAGGGCATCGTCTCCTTTTGGACTTGGAGGGCCTGGGCTGGCTGAAGATTTCCCCCCTGACACATATCCCATGGCTCCCCAGACGGACCAGAAGGTCTGGGAGGCCTGGAGGGCAGGCCGAGTGTGCTGAGCCCGGCAGCCAGCTGCCCGCTGCCGAAAACAGCCTGGGCTGCGGGGTGTGAGACACGGGGCAGGTCCGGGGCTGGGCCCAGGTCTGAGTCAGAAGACAGGGCCCAGGCCTGGAGCATCTACTGCGGAGGGGCCCGGTTTTCTCTGCAGTGAAACTGTTCCCCGGAAACCCCGGTTGGGCTCGAGCGGCCTGTCGCTGTGTCCAATCACGAAGGCGGGGTTTATTGCGAAGGCCAGCCCACCAAGAAGACAGGGCGCTTACAAGCATCAAATCCTGTCTTCCAGCAAGGCGCAGGGGACAGGATTGTAAAGGGGACGGGGCTGGGGTGCTACCTGCAGCCCTGGGGGTCCACAGACGTCAGCTGTTGCCCTTCATCCTCAGGCGATGAGATGATATTGACGGGATGATGTTTTGACTCCTGGTGGGTCGGCGTGACCTTGCTTACCGGTTCAGCTTGCTGGATTCACAGCTGAGTCACCTCCTCCATCGCATCGCCCGGGCCTTGAAAAGGACACTTGAGCAAAACTTAACCCCCTGGTCACATCTGAGAAAGTTAACCCCCTACTCACATATGATAGGTGTTCTAAGATTTACAAGAATATGACTACTTTTCAGATTAATTCAGGTGCTCTGTCTATCAGGTTATAGGTCCCCTCTATCAGAATCAGAGGCTGCACATCCGTGTGCGTGGGGGCGGGCTGGGTAACGCCGTCTGATGGACAGCTCCATGTCAGAGCCCCGCTGCAGCGAACGTGTGAGTCTTACGCCAGGGCCCCTGTGAGTCTGAGCAGCTCCTCAGGGCAGCAGTGCCCGGGCAGTGGCTCCACACACAGCCCATGCGACTCAGGCGAGGGGGCCTGCCATGTCCCCCCTCCAGGCTCCACCTTTTCGGGGGCCAGGAGACAGGGCTGGAGCCAGGCTTCCCACAGCCTCTGCCCAGAAGGGACCCAGCTCCCTCCTGCCGGCCTTTCTTGGTCCGACCTAGCCACACGCCTGTCTGTCGGCCAGGAGGCCTGAACGTCAGTCTCCCATCTCCCAGAAAGGGAAGGGGACATCGAGGAGTCCGAAAGGTCCATCGCAGACAGGCTGTCGCTGTCACTAAGAATCTGTGAACGTCTGGAGGGAAGGGTCCATATCTGCACCAAGCAGAGGATTCTGCCGGCAGCTTCTTCCCGTGCCGGGTGAGTGCCTGTTTGTGGTTCCTGTTAGATTCAGGGTCAAAGTGACACTGACCTGGGGAGGGCAGCCTCCAGCGATTACGAAGAGGCTCACGGTGGATGGGGGCAGGCCAAGGAGACAAAGCCCAGATCCTCGCTCCGTGCTCACTCTCGGGCTGAGGAGGAAGGGCAAGCAAAGAAAGTTCAAATTTGCTCGGCCTGCGGCGTGGCTCAGTGCTTGCACGTCGACCTGTGAACCAGGAGGTCACGGTTTGATTGCCAGTCAGGGCACATGCCCAGGTGGCAGGCTCCATCCCCAGAGTAGGGCATGCAGGAAGCAGGGGATCCATGATTCTCTCTCATCACTGATGTTTCTATCTCTCTCCCTCTCTCTTTCTCCGTTCCTCTCTGAAATCAATAAAAATATATTTTATAAAAAAAGAAAGTGCCA